TTAGGATTAATAGTGCTTCCAGTTTAATTCAATCGGCTAAATACTGGCTTACTTACTGTTTTTAATACTTTTGTATTTTATAATCAGCTACAGTTACTCGGAAAAATATTTGGATATTCGATGAATTTAATTTCGATGAATTTCCATTTGCACTGAACCAACAATATAAAATTCTAAAATACAACAACTGACGTTGTGTAACAAAAAAGTATCACCCCAATCCTCTCAATTAACCTTTCATAATTAGACACCATATTCAGTGCCCGATTATTTTCATGAATGACTACATCGTATCGACAAAACGAACCCACACTCCCAGTAACTCAAAAATATCGACGCGAGATTATCTACACCTACTCCCGATAACAGATCAGAAAAGTTCCAAGAACACCGACACTTATCACCTCCCCGTCCGCCGATAGGCGTGCAACCGCGACGAACGAACAGAAAAAAAGACGTATATAAAAAGGAGAAAAAATAAAGAAACGGGTTGTAGAGCCGGATCAAAGGGGGAGAACGTGAAAGCACGCACAGGGTGAGCTTCTCGCCGTCCGGACGGATAAACGACACCCATAATTTTTCTCCCCCCGCTCTCCTGCGTGTCCTCCCGTCGTCGCGCGACACACCGCCCGCATGATTACGCGTCGGCCGCTCGGTAACACCCAGAGATTCGTCGTGGACCGAAGTGTAATTCGTTGAAAGAGCCTATTGTGAATAAATTGAGCCGGGGCAAGGATTGGGCAGCGGTCGGGGGCGAGGTTCGACGCGCGGTGTGTTCTCTCTGGGTTATATCTCGTGGTTCGTTTTGTGCGCATGAAATTCCCACCGCGGTCTCACTCTCTCTCCTCCCTCTCTCCCATCTGACACCCCGTCAATTTATTAATCCAAACGACCGCGTTGGATAACCGACGTTATATAGCACGGATATAAAAGACCCCCGGCCATAGGTGTGACCGATTCTCGAGAACGTGAAGATTATACAGAATCGAGTGTATCCTCGCGGAATCCAGGAACACGTCGATGGGTCACGATCGTGCCATTTTCATGGATCGTTCGAACGATAATTGGTCGAGATAATTAGACTAACAGACTGGTCTGGTCAAACGTATCTTCTACAATCGTGTTACACGTATATATATGTATATGCATATACAGACACACACGTATACATAGAATATAAACACAGTCTCTGTTCTGTCTGGGGAACGTTCGCTTCCGTTATAACCACCCGCTTTTATCGTTCGCGCAACTGGCAACACGCTCGTTCTCTATCCGATCGCCAGCTTTATTTGCCTCGTTCTGCCGACTGTGTCCGACCAGCGCGATTCGTAATATACCACGGATCGTTATCGCGTTACATCGTTACGGAACCCGGGGATTAATCGACGACACGAGTTGACCTCGTTATTAATCGACGATCGAGCTGTAGCGTCCCGATCGTGATCGCTGGCCAATTGAATTAGCAACACGCTGGTCGTTTATCAAGGAGAGCACAGCGTGAACAAAACCCGACCGCCGCATGCCTCCTATGCCATAACTGGAATCGTCGCGGTACGGTAATTTGCGGTCAACGTCCTCTCTCCCGCTCGCTTTGCCTCGCCACCGCGATAACGTTAATCGCCGATTTTTCGACGACCAAGAACAGAGGAAGATCAAACTGTTTACCACGGGAGTTGATAGGGGAACAATGCTCGCAGCGGAATATCGTCTCCCTTTTTCTCTCTCTCTCTCCTCGCGTTCTCGTCGAGCGAACGAACGGTCGCCGACTTGGAGAGCACACGGTCAACCCTTCGAGCGGAAGTTGCGCGCGCCGGAAGTCAGGCTAGGTTTAGGCGAACGCAACCAGCAGCGACGATTCCGTGGGACCTATCGCGACGATCTAACACGGGTTTGGCCTTCGCCTCGGTGCCTCTCTGAATGTATAAACACGAGTTTCACGCCGGCAACGTTCCTCGAAACGACGTTTAACTGTTCCGATGAGAATGACGTATACGTGTTGGTCGAACATGCGCGCGTGCATCGTGTCGAGGAAGTGTTTTCGATGTGCTCATTTTTAGAACCCTTAACCCTTTGCAATCGAGTGGCGACATTAATTGTCACTTGGTAGATAATGAATCAAGACAGAGAGCAGATCTATGGGCCTCCGTGAATTTGTTCACCATAGTGAAATAGAGGATGTGTTGAATATTTAAATAAAGTAGTATACTTCATATCTACGTTGGTTTTAAAAAATTTCAAAGATCCGATTTGCAACCCCTTCTACAGCAAAATCACATCCGAGTGCAAAGGGTTAATATTCCAACAGAAATACATTTTTTCACGATCGCGTACATATAACGACGAGTAAAAGAAGCGATCGACGTAAAGATAGGTCTGTCTTATCTCGCTTCGCGATAAAATTGATTCAATTGATCGTAGAAGAGCGTAACTCGTGTCCCCACACGGCTCGAGCCTAAATTGCAATTGCAAGCGCCTAGTTAACGCCATTGTGACGTAACCTCTGCTTGTAATAGCATCGGTATTTCATTCACTCGCGATTGAAGAGAAAAGAAGAGTCTGGCGGGCGTTTAGTCACAAAACAACCGTGCTCGCTTGTAAATGGAATTAACGACGTTGGGACGATAAGTGACGTCGTGGCTGGATCTGATTCGATTAGGAAGTATATTTCGTTGGGAGTGTTGCAGCGGTCGAACTCCGCGACGGTGTCGTTGAACCGGAATGAATACGTATAATCGAGTGGACGCAGAAGAGAAACATTAGCCGCCGATCGTTTCTCTATTTGTAGCCGATTAGAGGACACCCGGTATATATTGCAATGCGTGTCACGCCTACGCGTGTCGCGTCAGGCGTTTGTCGGTCCGACAGAAATTGCTTTCAATGATACGAAACATAGTCGGTAGTGGGTTCACGGAATTGCTTGGTCGAACGTTCGACGATAGCGAAGAGAAGAAACATGGTTAAACTGATGTTTTTAAGCGTTTTAACCCTTCACGGACGATCTGGGTCTTCGATGACCCAGGCGAAATTTCACTCTTGCATCTCCCCGTGATAAATTTTTATTTCTAAAAAAGTTTTCAATATTTCATTTAACCAACACTTGTGTAACGTAATGAAGGCTTTGATTAGTACCACAGAATTTTTTCAGATCTTTTAGAAAGCTGGAACATCGAAAAAATTAGACTCGAACGTAAACGAGCCAGTTAATCTACGAAGTGTGAAAAACTGTGTTTGCCCAGAGAGGGTTAATCGTGTTGACCTGTGAGAATAATCTATCTATCTGTATTTAAACCTTGGAAAATCGTGATAAACTTTCGAATCATTAGCAGAGAAGGCAACGGCACTTGTACAATGGCTAACGGACCATGAACGGAATTTTGCAAAGTCGACACGCTGCGTAAAACTGGTTATCCTTGCGTTTCCACAGCGATCGTTTAGAAGATAGTTGGTAAAACGGTTGCCCAGTTCTCCGTCGAGAAGCGTGTCGGTGCATCGATACTTAACCCGGCCTATCAAGCACAGAAATCGAGACCATCAATTCCTCGACGCGTTATTACCATTAACGTATACGATCCCTCCTCCTCTCTATCGATACGAGCCATCCACACCGTTCTTGAATAAAATCATCCGAACGAGAAAAAGGAAAAAAGAAAGAGAAAGACTCATCGATAAGATCGAGTTGCTTCCTCCTCCCTCGCTCACCTTTGCTATAATCGAATTCCATTTCCCGTCCGGTGAATCGAGAGAGGCTCGAGCCAACCACTTTCCTGCTCCGTAATTCGATTTTCGAGTTGACGGTTTTGATCGCCGATAGAAAATATCGCGTTTCCATCGGCGTAGGAACGCGCCCGCGCGTCCAACAACAATAGCAATTTGTTATCCGGTTAGCAAGCAGACGCGTCCTTCCTAACTCGATTCCAAGTTTCTCGCGGAAGTTTCAGCGTGCACAGGTACAAGAAAGAGAGAGAGAGAGTTCAGGAAGCGCGTGCTGGGCTACGATTCCACGGGTAATATGGTCCCCGCTGGTCGGTGGATCGGTTGGACCGTATCCAGCCGAGCGCGGATGACAACGAGAACACCAAGTGGAACTCCGGATACGTATAATGCGCCGAAACGTGCTCGTGCAAGACGTCTATACAGTCCGTTAGCGGACTGTGCCCCTCCAGTGCAACTTACTATGTGATTCCCGACACATTCACGCACCGATGATTTATATGCTAATTCCTGGACTGGAACACGATCCTTGGGATCCTGGAAACTTTCACCGTCCACTGCCGTGGATTCGCGAACGTTCTCCTTGGACGCTGAATAGGGATGAACGTTCGAGGGTTGATTAGGAAGTTTCTTTTTTTTTTAACCCTGGTGTAGATCTTCAATCGCAGACTAAAATCTTTTGTGAAAGGGCGCCAAAGTTCGGTAGGAGCAAATTTTCAGAGCTTCTATAGGCGCCAACAGGCGCAAACCATCTCTGATGAACGTTAAATAATTTTTATTCATCTCGAACGTATTCTATTGTAACGACGTTACAATACAACTATATACACGTTCACATTATTCAAAGGGTTAATTGATCGCAAAGGTGTAACGCACTCCTCGAACTCTTGCTGTGAATGACCTGAAAGGAACCTTTGTTCGGGAGATCTCGAAGATCTCATCTGCGTCTCGAGTTTTGACACCGCAGAGGAGAGAGGAGTATATACTATTTGGCTAGGCCGCGAAAGACTCCATTTTTAGATCACACGAGTGAGGAGATGGTACGTTACAACGTGGATCGCGCGAGCCTGGAAACCGAGAGTTAGTCATCGGACGCACATTTGCGTCGCACGTTTCCAGCCTCGTTATCATGACGGTCGCGAAACTTCAGCGACAAAAGATATATCTCCCCCTCTTTTTTTTTTCGCCCCATGTATTAAAAAACAACAGAGTTATCGCGGTGTTAGTCACGAACAGAGAAAGAGACAGACGTCTACTACTGTTTTTTTTTTTTTTTTGTTTCAATTCACCTGATTGTCGGCGAAGACACACTTGACGTTAATCCAACGGTGTGCCTTGACGGTGCAGTTGCACCCGTCCATCGCGCATATCCCGGGAGGTGCACTCTCGACGCCATCAGGCAGAAATACCAGACACCACAAAAACACCGACCATACGATCGCACGATCACACTTTAGCCCGTCCAGGGCACTGAACACTCTCCTTCTGCCGTTCATCTTCACCGAAGACGATTCTCCACGATCTCTATCCACCTCTCGCACAAAGTGGAGGACAAAGGGACGCGCGTTCTTCCACGATCACGGTCGATCGTCTTCGTTTTCTCGCCGAATGTAGATCTTCTTCACATCGTTCACCCGCACAACGGTTACTCGTTCCGCGAGGCACACTTTCATCGATCTCGATCTACCTAGATCCTTCTTCCCTCGTTAAACGAAACTTTCACATCTGTCTCGATCTATCCGATTCATCCGTACAGAAAGGAAACTGAACTTCTTTCTACGTGTACACTTTACGGTCCCTAACAGAGAGAATTAATTTTCGAACTTTCCAAAGATCTCTCATCGATCGTCGACTTCATCCGGTATCCTTTCCGGATCGGGAAAGAGGAACTGCGCGCGGCGAGGATACAGAAAGACAGATAGAAGCGGACGGAAGAGTGCTCGAGCGGGTAGCCGCTCCGCGAGCAAGTCCAACACGCGCGCGGACGGCCTGTTTCCGAAGAGGTGGGGCACACTAGAAGCCAGCTGACGCGATCATGACGGAGGTTGCTTTCAAACTGTGGTCGGTGGCATGCACGATCGGTGTCTCCTCCCCACCAGGAACCGTGTTCCTTGCCTTTGCTTCGCTCTCTCGTGCTACTCTTTCTCTCTCTCTCTCTCTTCGGCCTTTTAAAAGATAAAAGGCTGGCTGAGCGCGTCGGTGGACAGAGGGGGCGAACTCTTCGACACCGGTTCGACGGGCTTTTTCGTTCTTGTTCGCGCGTCGCACGTAGTAGGCAAGCAGCGTGGAGGGCTCTCCTCGGTTGGCCCTTGGACACCCCGGTTTTGTCGCCGTACTTTCGCGTCCCTCCAGAGGGCTGACCTTGACCAAGTTACCAAACGGCGGTGTCCATCGCGAATCGCAAATTCTCGTGACCAACGTGACTTTACGTAACACGTGTTTGTGTGCGGTTTGCAGAGGCAGATTACGCTCGTGAGAGAGCAATTGTACCTGTTCACCGTGCGATTGATACCGGTTTATTTAATTACGATTCTGCTGTTCTCTGTGTTTCTTTTTTCTTGCTTTTTTCTCGTTTCTTACAATGACACTTTTTGTGGTCTGGCGGTGTTGCTTTGATCGGGTTGTTTAGAAGGACGTGTTGGTCGGTGTGATTTTCTTTTTAGCCGTGTCTCAGGGGTATGAGTCTCATGGCGTAGCAACGGTTTGATGGTCCGACCAATTTGGAGCGCGAGGCAGTTTTAGAAATGAACGTTCGTTTCAACACTTTGCACTCTGAGAATTTTTTAAAATGATTTATTTTCATTTCTTCTGTCAATTTGCTTCATTTTCTCAATGAGCGGCGTCGAATGATCGAGCACACCATCTCCAAGATTTCACCGAAAGAAGCTCGAAATCCAAGAAATTTCTTGCTTCGAAACTTCCTCCTCAATTTTTCAATGAAATCCCAAAAATTACAGGGAAAAAAGGATTAAAAGGCGTGCAGTGGGAAGGTCGAAAGAGGAAGTACGCTTGCTTTACAGCCGGTTCGTAGAAAAGTCGAAACCCGACGCAGCCAGGGCAGCGTAAAAACGAGACGGTCCAGGCACGAAAGCGTCTCCTCATAGCCACGTCGCTTTTCATGGTAGACGGCGTTTCCCTAAAGCGGGGCACGCCGTCGTAGCTCTTCTCTTTATGAGCAGAGGGCCTGCCCATTTAATTTCCCATGAGAAATTGCGCTTGTCCGTGTAACTTCAGCCATGGCTGGGTGTCCCGTTGCGTCACACATGCGAAACGTCCATTCATTCATAACGCTCCTCTCAAACCAGGAAGCACCTGACGCCAGCCGAAGTGGCCATTTCCGAAATGACCACGTGCTGACCATACGTCACATCGGTGTGGCTGACCTTAAAGCCGCCCTCCCAATTTCCAACCGGCGATCCCTCTTGCTTTCTCTCCCTCCCTCTCTCGCTCTCTCCGGATACGATGCGTCGCCGTCTGGTCTCTCTACCCTATCGCGGTTCGATTTCGCTTCACGTTTCTTCCATCGATCTTCTTCCGTCTCGCATTACCAGCGTAGATCGGTAAAACGAGACCTACGTCAAGGATATTCCACGGTCCCGATGTCGGCGGACACGTATCGACATCTACGACGGATGAATTTTCTGTAATATTACCTTTTGTGAGGCTCTTCCCGTCGTCGTCGCTTCGAGGTGGAGGATAATGTGTTGCGCAGGTGGAAATATTGCGGTTTGATGTGTTAACGGCGCCAGAAAGTCGACTGTTTCAGATCGATGAGAGGTGTGTTATTCGCTTTTGAGAAATTATTTTGTCAAATCTTGCACAGTAGAGGGAGTGAGATTTCGATACTGTGTTACTGTATCATGCACGACGAATTAGGTAATTTAAACAATTTTATAGCAAAATTTGGATGAGTGAACAAAATTTTATGAAAAAACGTAATCGGCAACTTATAGCGTGACCTAATATTCCATTCTCATGTACTACTCTGATAAACTTTGTCCCATAATAAATAATATATTTAACGAACCATCGTTCTTCAATTTTACCTTATTGATTCCCCCAACACATACTCCTCTACCGATTCTTCTAAAAGATCCTTTTATCAATCTTAAACATCTACCAAACTGTAATTATCGGTCATAAACTACAATTATAACTTCGAGGTCAAACCACCTAAGATATCTTATCACCAGAGCAATTGAAATTTTAACGGTACCAAGTTTCTAAATTGATAACACCATGTTCGAAAAGGTATGAAATATTGCTTATTGCAAATATAATTGGTACACCGTGTTTCGAGTGAATACAGAACAAGTGTTATTCCATACCGGTTTGTCCGCATGCTTCTTCGAACGTGTCCGATCGAGATGGTTGGAAAGAAGTCGTTCTCGCAGCTCATCGGGAACAAAATGAACGTATCTGCGATGATGGTGTATAGGTAGCGGACACGTCGCAACGGGTGAGCCACGGAGAACAGAATTGCGATGTGATTGCGCCTTATTAGGGACGAGTCCAGTGATGACTCGCTAGGGGAAACAGCGATTGTCTGGCTGAGAGAGGAGCATCGTCCTCTGCTCGTGATCTACCCAGACGAGATTCGCGAAACGGAGCACCAATTAGGGACATCGCGGCTCGAGAACTCGTTTTAACGAGACAGATACCTGCGATTGATCGTGACCTCCTTCTAGACTACTTTTTTCACCTACAACGTTCGTGAGATTCCGCTTATCACCACCTCCATTTTCTAATGTACTCGTGATCAACAGATAACGTGGAATCTTACGGTATTGTTTCAACTCGCTTAATTTCTCGATTCTCGTGGAAAATTGCCGGGTTTAGAATTCGGTTTACCGTGCTCGTCTGCGGATGATTTTCATCTCTGTCTTCTCTCAAAATTCCTATTTTAGTATTGCGATTTCAAAGCGTCTACTCCGTAAATCAAATATTATTATTATCATTAACGGAGTATCTTGAATAGAAAATTGCAAATTTCCGGCAAAGATGATTGCAAGTTTCACGCAGACTTGGAATAGCGTCTTGAAGAATTTTGAATAGAGAATTGCCAATTTCTGGCGAAGACGATTCAAATTTCACGCAAATTTAGAATAGTGTCTTGAAACATCTTGCAAATTTCTGGCGAAGACGACTACATTTACTTCTCTTATCGGTATCGTAATTGGCGAATCTTCTTTGTCCAACAGCGGACACTCGAACGAGCGACTCTTTCTGCGGGACTTCGTTACTTGCTCGTCCGGTAGCAGTGGTGGTCGTTTGGCAAGATGGTTACAGCCGGACAGTTTCGTGGATCCCTCGAAATGCGAGGCACTTTATGCGAAGGACGAAATGAAATGCGGATGCCCAGCTATCGTCACCATACTCACGAGGGACCAGTACGGAGACGTCGTTCACGTTCCCAACTTAAAGGTACGCTCGTAATTATCACATTCTCCGCTAAAATTATCACATTCTAGCATTTCTAGAAAGAGAGACATTTCTTTGAACGATCTTTCAGGTGGAAGTGAAGGCAGTTCCCATAGACAAGAAAGATTTAGGCGATTCGGAAAGAGTCTCTCAACCAGATCCAATGACTTTCGGTGGTCATCCTCAACCACCGACAGACGTGCCGTACGAGGTCACGATCAACAACAAAACGTGCTTCTACGCGATTACAATCATGAAAGCTTATCAGAACTACTCGTTCGAGGAGCTAAGGTTCATGTCACCGACCGTGAAAAGATCGAGCGAGAGCATGCTCGTGAGACCAAACGGCGATGGAAGTTACAGTGCTACGTGGACACCGTCGTCTGTCGGATGGTATTCTCTTATGATCACCGTGGACGGATACAACATGGAAGATGTGAATATTACACTTGAAATTCTCGCTGCATTCGAGGAAAATTGTTGGCAATTTTTCTCTCATACTTTGCAATCTTTTTTCCATCGCAGAAGTACAAAGTAGAAGTGAAAGAATCACCGCAGGGCATGCAACCACCCACGCAGAACATCATAAAGAAGCCGCAGCATCAACCGAGCAGACTTCGAAAATTCGTGGCGAAGAACAGCGCTGGCTTGAGGGTCAGAGCGCATCCGTCTCTCCAGAGCGAGCAAATTGGCATCGTTTCGGTTAATGACACCATAGCCTTCATAGACGAGGTATGCAATTCCATCTTCCTTTCGAGTTGTCGCAATTTCGAGATATCTACATTCAATTTTCTTCTGCACCGTGCCGTTACTCCATTCCCGTAGATTCATAACGACGACGGCGTTTGGCTACGACTGAACGCGGAAACGATAAAAGAATATTGCAACAGCAGTCACCTGGAAGCTTGGTGCCTGCAATATAACCAACATCTAGGCAAAACCTTGCTTCTCCCGGTGGAAGAGCCGAAATCAATTTTGGACCAAGTGATGAAAGAGACCATTCTGAGGAAGAGACCAGAAGTGATCGACGAGTACGTGAATCGTTGAATATAGGCGAACTCTAGCCTCGACTTATCACCTTGATTTCTCGTTTCAGTAAGAGGAAGACTGTGACGTTCGACGGTGGTAGAACTATGGTCGTCGTAAAGTGCGGTGCATCCGGTCATAATATTCGAAGTAGACCAAGTTTGAAGGCAGCGCCGGTAGGGAAGCTAGCTCTTGGGAACATGGTCACTATTCAAGAATACGTGAGTGAATATTCATGCACCAACAGTAAAGAACGACAAATTCTTTGAATATTCAATTAACAAAAAAATGTTTCTCCTAGTTTGTCAATGGCGAAGGAACTTGGGTGCGCATGGACGACGACTCCATGGCCAAGTATTGCTTCGGCAAAGGTAGAGTAGCCGAAGGCGAAGCCTGGTCCCTGGTCGTCAGCAAACACGGCGTTACTTACATGAAGATCGA